TTTCCAGTTTCTTCAAACATAATTTCGAATGTCATTTTGTAAATTACAAGCGTAGGGAAAAAAAACCCACCATACCTACGTCAGTATTTAAAATCTAGGAACAACAAATGCTACGACATTGAAAATATCGTAATCCAACAAATCTAGTTCACATACCTTATGACCTCGGTTGTTGACTTTGCCCCTTCCGCTCCTCCATTTACAAACATATTAATTGACCTTGAATTTATATACCACTCAAAACCATAAAATTAGCATCGAGAGTGATCAATAATAGAAGAAAACATGAATCATTTCGAGCTATTAGCTTCAAAATCGATATGCTTAACAAAACAATATATGCGGGTATATTACTGGTACTATGTTATAAGATATGTTAATTAGTTATTGTTAGAGGGTGTTTGGGATTGCTTCTTTGAAATAACTTATTATTTTCTACAAAAGCACTTATCAATTTATTACAAATTAGAAAAGTTTAACTTCTTCAAAAACTCCTTATTATCGGTTTGACATCGGTATAAGATGTTTATCCAAACACTCAAAAATGCTTATTGCTTGTACCACACCGGAATAAGTCAATAAATTATTTTTATAAGCAATCTCAAACACTAATTTGAAGAGGAATAGAATGTTAAGCTTAGGGGTGTTTGGGATTGCTTATAAAAAAACAACTTATTGACTTATTTCGGTATGACACCGGTAATAAACGTTTTTGAGTGTTTGGATAAATAACTTATATCGGTATCAAACCAATAATAAGGAGTTTTGAATAAGTTAAACCATTCCAACTTATAATAAATTAATAAAAACTTTTATAAAAAAATATTAATTATTTCAAATAAACAATCTTAACACCCTTGTGTCCAAACTTCAAAGATCGAACCTGTAGTCTCTTCCACCCCCCTTGAATTATCTCCCCCCATCACGCTGGAATCAAACCTAAACCCATGTCCAAAAACGGTTCTTCTACAGCGGAGCACCCTTTATCACTGCTCATTTTGGACTAATTTTGGCCGTGGTAGTATCTGTACGCTCTCTCCATCCCTCGATTTTGGCCTCTGCATCTTCTACTCTTCTTTTAAACTTGAAACATTAATTTACGTAATTGGTTACGAATGCTTCTTAATCATGTTTCTGTTATGTTATTATAGTGCTTTAATGAGTGGTTGCTAGGGTTCTTGAAGGAGAAAGCTAATGTGTCGGATGAGACGGATGCTATGGTGGTTTTTGGAGGAATAAATTGAGTGATGAAAGATGAAAGGAGGGCCATGGATTTCTCCGGTTAGGAATAGTTCCATTCTCTTCTCATCTAATTTCCTTTTTGTTCTTTGATTTCCCCTTACAATTTTTGTTTATATGTTGATCTTCATCAGGGATTGAAGTTGTATGTAACTACATATATGTATTCCTGATCAATATCTTGGAAGCAGTATAATAGTCCTTCACTTTCACCCAATTATCATTCAAGAATCCAATCAGATTTTTTTTGTTAACCTAGATATCCAACCGCTGTGCCAGCCGACTAATCCCAGGACCCGCTTTGCAAATAGCCCGGAGTCACCGCATTTGAACTTCCTGGCCACAAGGGGATTTTTATTCCTCCCTGGATTTGAAATTAATGGGGATGATTCTGTCACAGTTTTTTAATACCCAATTGTGTGATGTTAGTTACAGTCTCATTTCAGCCTTAGGGGCAATCCCTTTTATATATCTGTGCTAAAGGGAAATGCATTACATATATTGTTTCTGTTGATGAAGGCTTCTGGTCTAAATTTTATGAAAGGAAGTCCATTGAGACACAGTGTTCATTTTTAAGTTATCCAGCTTGCTTCCAACAAGAAGAATTGGCTACCAAGTTCACTTGATTTGATTATTTTGAATTTATATACTTGGAGTTCATGTAAAATGTAGAATTTTCTTGCGCAGTAAATAACGCACCATCATAGAACTCCTAGAATTAGGATGATGTTGCAAACCGCTAATCTATCTTTTAGTTGTGTTTATTCCGTACTAACGGTTAGAGTTTCCTTTTGGGTTCTTTCCAAAACAACTTTTCGTATTCAGACAAAATAATGGATGTTTGTATATCACTTGAGTTCTTTTGATGCAGTGGTAGGGTATCTTTGGTGATTGTCATATAGACTTCTTTGGTCGATTGTATTTGCAGGCATGATCGGTTAGAGGGTTCTTAGGGTGCCTGTTTATCCCCCATCACTTGGCGTACTTCCAATTACTTGCATTAGACTTGATAGTGAACTGAACTCGTTAGCAACAACCTCTTCCCACTTATAGTAGTAACAGTTGCATAGGTTTTTACTTTTGTTGTCTTTGCAACAACTGATTCCACTTTGATGCATGCTTTTTGCAACTAATGTCGGTGCATCAACCCAAACAAGAAAGTTTATACACTTTGACAACCCATCATATAATTGGGTATTAAAAAACTGAACTGGTTATCAGTTTAAGTCCCCTCAGGATCATTGAGATTAGGACTTTTGCGGGTTTGTCTGACTTTTAACTTCAGGACCTTATTACTTTAGGATTAGTCGAATTGCATACACGTAGGTCTGAATACACATGGTTATTACCAGGAGGTCCCAGGTTCAAATCCAAGGAGGAATAAAAATTCCCTTGTGGCCACGAGGTTCAAATGCGGTGACTCCGGGCTATCTGCAAAGCAGGTGGTCGCCCTGGGATTAGTCAGCTCGCATAGCGGGTTGGATATCCAGGTTAATAAAAAAAAATACGCATGGTTATTAGAAATATGATATTTATTGTATTTTTTTCCCTATTTTTTTTTTGCAATAATGGATATTAATGGGTCGTTTACCGGTAAGAGTCACCATCCTCACTTACTTTATCGGGTAACATCCCCTGAACATCAAAATGAATTGTTGGTAAGCATTTTTTACCTAGTAAGTATTAACCAGGTAAGAATATTCTTCCTCACTTACCGGATAAGATTCTCGGTCCTTGCTTTGCCTCTTACCATGTAAGATTACCAAAAGTATACTCTTTGAAGCATTTGTTTAGCAAACTATTTTGGTCCCTGTTTTTTTTTTTTTTTTGCTGTAGTAGGATGATAAATATGAAGAGATGGTGAAAAGATATGGTCTTACAAAATGGTTTCTCAAAGCGAAGTCTCTACCCGGTCGTATTGGGAAATAGTGTCATGAAAGGTATTTTGATTACTTTTTGGGTCCTTCAATGGTTATTTTTACGTTGGTTTGTTGTTTCTTTTTGACTTAAAGAGTTTTAGATTAACTATGTTTCGTTTTACTCTCATGGTATTAGAACAAACGTCATCATACTCACATTTTGCTTAATATCTATTCTGTATTGAGTTGTTAGACCATCTCGAGAGCGTACTTGCTAACGAGCCGTTGTCGTGAAACGCAGACAACAAATTGTCGAGGTGAACCTGCAGGTAATTAGTAAAAAGAAGAACTTTTTGAAGTGGCTTTTTTGGGTTTCTCTTCTGCTAGATTGCTTTGACCTTAGTTGTTGAATCTATTCGTAATTGTTTTATGTGCATGCTTTTATGATCATGTGTATCGATGTCGTATAGCTTGATTTCGTATATCGTTAATATATGTTTTCTTTGATGTTAGATCAGGTTGAACATGTATTATGTGAAGAGAAGATGATGGCAGTATATGATTTGATTGAGATATACTTTGAATTTGTTGTAGCACCTTTGCCCATTATGGAATCCCAAAAGTAATGGGTTGTTTACCAAACATTTATCCGGTAATCGCTTACCGGTAAAATTTAACACTATCATTTACTTACCGGGGAAGATTTTAGTCCACTAAAACGGTATCGTATGCATCAATTTACTCGGTAAGCTCTTACCGTGGTAAGAGTCGTCACCCTCACTTACCGGGTAAGATTCTTGGTCCTTATCACGCTCTTACTGGGTAAGATTTTTGTTCTTTACCATATTCATCCGGTAAGGTAATGTGACTTGGTGTTCACTTATCCGAATAAGCATTTGGTAAACAACCCCTAAGTTATTTGTGCTAGAATTTATATTTAAGCATCATGTTTTTTTGCAATATACCAATTGGGTGTCAAATTCTTTAAAGAGCAATCCAAACAAAGCAATTTCTACATTTAAAATGACAAGCATCTTTGTGTGTATACATAAGTTGTATTACTATTTAAACCACATACAAAGAGCAGTTGTTTTAAATTTTATTCGTGATTTATAAGAAAGTTATACATACTGATGGATTGTAGCAGATTCACAACTAGTACATATAAATTCTACGGATTGACATGGATACATGGTTGGGTTGAAAAAATTGGGTCCGATCAATCGAACCTAGAGATGTCAAAAAAAGCACAAGCCCGAAGCCTATCCTGAAGCACGGCCTAGAAAAGCACGGGCCTAGTCGGCAGCGGACTCAAGATTTTGCTGAGTGAGTGTATCGTTAAGGTGGATTAAAGTCCCACAAAGTGGACCGATGTGTTTTGCCGAATTCCACAGTTTCGAGGATTTTTTTTAAAAATTGGTTGATATCGAGGGACTTTTTTCTGTTTCTTTTTGTTGATTTCGAGGGATTTCTTTCGATTTTGCGGTTGATGTTCCATGCATTTTCTATTATCTCGAAGCACTCTCAAAGTTTTAGCAGATGCATTTTTCACACCTCAAAAAAATTATACTTGTGAAAATAAGTTGAGCGGGTATATGAGATTTTGCTTGGAGCTTAATAGGTCCTATGCTTAGTGAACCCGAATCCCAATCTGGGCCAATTGTCAAAAGCCCGATTAGGCCGGAATATTGACAGCAAGCCAGACATAGGCTTGATTTGGAAAAGTTGGACCTAAAAAAGCCCGATTAAGCCCGAAAAACCTAGCATGAAAAAGTCTGATTATACATAAAACCAAAAAACCCAACCCAATAACGGGACCAAAATTAGGCGTTACATTCCCTTCCCAAAGAAAGAAAATTTAGATTATAAAAGACAATCGAAATTCAAAAACCGAAAACAAGTACAAGAGAGAAGGAAAACCGAAGAACAAAAGCCAACGGCAAGTTATAGGGTTTCTAAACCCAATCCCCTCCCCTTTTCTCTCTAAACCCAACTCCCTCTCTCTAGAATCTAAACCACGTTCAATCAAAGTAACAGATTCAGATTTTCACCGCCACTATGAAGATATGATTGCCGATGGTATCTACTTCACTCGCCGGATCTCTCTCTCTCTCTGTATGAATATCGGCGACTGCGACGGTCAAGGCAACTGTAACGGCAACGGTAACGGGGACGGTGACCGATGCTAGGGTTTTCTTTTAACTTGAGGCTTGATTTGGGGATAGGATTGGGATTTTGAAGATATAAGAGGATAAAATTGTCGTGTTTCAGACAGGCATTTGCGTTAAATTTTGGTTCCGGTGATTAGCAACATTCTCACGCGTCATATATGAAAGTTCTTCCTCACATGTTTTCTAATACTGAATTGTTTCTTTGATCTAGGAAAATTTTGGTCAAATCCATGCCTGCCATGAAGAAGGTTGAAATGCTGACAGTTTTTTTATATAATCAGATTATGTATTTTGCTATGAATATTTACCCCTCCCAATTGCATACAGTATCATGTTTTTATACATTATTTTTGTTGATTGATTATTCCAGAAGACTGAATACGTTGATATCGGGCAAATGTTTGAAAGATTGGCTAAGGACATTGGAGAACCGGTTGACTTTGAGCTTCCTGATTGGTTGAATAAATGGAAACCTCACTATACCATCATAAAGCGCAGTATCCACTCTTAAGTGTTTGAGATTGTTATTATTATTGCTTCGAAGTCCATAGCTATTGTTTTTTCCACATATCACTTCGTCAATTTGTTTTTTCCCCTTTTTTCACGTTTCACTTGGACAAACTGTTAATTGTTGTGTGACTATCTTCATGAGTGTCTATGCGTGTTTATATACTTCATGTGCATACTTTTGCCTTTTTATTCAAATTAACATATATAAAAGATATATATTTAACAAAGAAGGTTAAGAGACGAGTTCGAGTGGAGGATGATGGAATATTCTGCTCCTGTAGCTCAACAGCAGGTTCCTCTGGTGTTTGTGGTAGAGATTGTCACTGTGGGTAAGAGCCAACAACTACCTGGATACTATTACTTTGCAATGTTAACACTCATAATTATGATTCTTTTATTTATATGATGTTATTTATTAGCAAAAGCCCAGTAGACATGGGTTTATGGTCCTGTGCAGGCTTTGGTCTCAGCCATGCCTGTTTGATAGACCGAAATGGGAATGCTTGTACATGAATATGAATACGCTTACTCTATCTGATGAGAAGATTGAGTAGATGTAGATTCTCTTGATTCAAGAACAATCTTGGCTACTATACCCTGTAGCTCTTTTCCCTTTACTTGCATCCCATAATTTCTACAATTTCCTGTAGCTCCAAGTTACTATACAAAAGTAGGCTCTGAGATTTTAGTCCCAAATATATGCTTACTTGATCATCCCCTGTACCATGAACATTGCAACAGTTGGCCCTACATGCATATGGAATACTCTTTCATCATAATGACAGTTTCTGATTTTAAAGTAAATCTTGTGGACCAAAATTAACATCACAAAGAATTCTGTAATGATGACATGAGGCAACTAGGATTTTGAAAATCATATGGGACATTATAGTAAGGAAATTCGTTGCAATTTTTGTGGGATGAAGTATGTACAATGTATTGAGGTTGACTTCGATAATCAGTTCATACTCTTCAGCAATACTCGGCCATAATATCCCCCAGTCCAACTCCTCTCGAAAAACAGGACATGGTTGACCATATATGTCTTCCAAATGAGTGCTAAAAGATGCAAATGCATGCTTCAGCTCTCCTCAACCCAATATTTACTCAACAAGGGTCAGCCAGCAAGTTTTCTTTCATTAAATTTGCATCTTTCCCATTACAGAACCCTGTTTTAACTTTTTATATGCATATGAAAGTCCTCCAGTGTTTGTATGTTGCTTTAGTTGAATGTTGAAAGTAACTTCTGAGTGAGAGTGAACTTGATCTTTGAGAAAGAACTGAACTGTATGGTTTCGAATCAAGTACAGACATGTGCTCCATCATTAGCTATTTGTGTGCTGACAAGATAATTTCATGATGCAGGATGCTACTGTCAAGCTGCTCATCTAACTGTAATTGTGATAAGTCATGCCTCAATAAACCATTCCACCAACGACCTATGAAGAAAATGAAGATAGTTCAGGTACTATATCATCCTTTTAAACACCATTTATTGAAGTCTTTTCTTGGATGTGAAAACTGTCCAAGTACGTGTGTGATTTTTAGGATCTCATCTGGTAGTGTCTGACCTAATATATACTTTTTTTCAGCTTTCTAATGCCTTAGATATAGAGATTTATGGAATGACAGTCGTATTTTCTTTAGTGATATGTGATAATCCTCGACTGAGTGGAGCAAAGTTGCACTTGCCACTTGCACCAAAGCATACCTTGTATAACGCATGTGTTAATACTACCCATGTGCCAACAAACGGTACACATGTCATATTAGAATCCATGCTGAATATATGGTTCTCTCGTTCTTAATTCTGTCTCTGTCGATGTCATTTCTCTGTATATCTGTTATCTTATTATCTACATCAAAATTGACCGGATAACCAAGGCCCGTGACTGATTGTATCTGATGGCTTAGGGTTAGGGTGCTTGAATTCCAAAGTGACTGCTGATAGAATTAATGATATCCTAATTTTGATGCAAATGATGCCTCGAGCCAAGGATTCAGAGACTTGAACTATCTGGGGTGTGACTATGTGAGCCATCTCCTTTAAGTATTGCATGGGAGTAACTAGTAAAATTTTCATTTAACCCCTTGTATTATTTCCTATGGAAGATGACCACACTAAACTCCAAATACAGGCATGAGCCACCTTGTAAATGCAACTGTTTAGTTGTGTTAAGGACACTAATGATCACTCGACCACCTAGTCCCTAAGTAAGCACCAGAAAATCACTTGACTGCCTAGCTTTATACTACTTGTGGTAGTGATCGATATACACAAGATTAAGACAATTATGCATGTGCCCATGGTTTCGGATGTTTAGATGTTTGCTAGAACTTATAATTGGGACACCATAGCTAGTTTGGGTTTGCTATGGTAGAAGCCTTGGTCATGTGTGCCAGTTGTTGTCAACTTGTGAATAACAAATTTACAGTGTTGATGCAGTTCTCATTCTGAACCGGCATCAGCAGTTTGATGGCATTGTCTATATAGGTGAAGGATAAATACATGCATAGATATGTGTGTGCATGTATATATAGAACGATTGAGATTCTATGTAAGAATCTTGTGTTTGTCAATCTTATACTTTTTCTATATTGTTAAAGTTCCCATGATTTTGTGCCTACGGTAACTATTTTGGGCCTTTATGATTTATTGTTACTCAGTTTGGTTTTACTTGTTTCAGTTTATTTGTTAATACCATCTCCTCTTGCCACCCTTTTATTTAAATAAGTTTGTTCATATCAGTTTCTAATATCATAAACCATCTTTTTGTACCAAATTGTGATGCCATTTTTGTTGTTTTATATCAATTTTAAGCTAACTTGCTTTCTTAGACCGAAAAATGCGGCTCAGGGGTTGTTGCTGATGAGGATATCATGCGAGGGGAGTTTGTTATTGAATATGTGGGAGAAGGTAATGTCTTTAAGTTAAGAGCATGCTTCCTTCAGAATCAAGTATGATATCTTCTTTTTTCTTTCTACCCTCAATGCAGTTATCGATGACAAAACTTGTGAGGAAAGGCTTTGGAGAATGAAGCGTCAGGGAGAAACAAACTTTTACTTGTGTGAGATCAACCGAGACATGGTGATTGATGCCACATACAAAGGAAACAAATCAAGATATATAAATCATAGTTGTTCTCCAAATACCGAGATGCAGAAATGGTGTTGTCCCTATCTTTCTCTCTGAATTTCATCATCATAACAGCCATCATTGTCTAATAAAAATAATTTTCTCAGGAGGATGGATCGTGAAACGAGAATAGGCATATTTGCAACTCGGAATATAAAGAAGGGCGAGCACCTGACCTATGATTACCAGTATGATTACATTATCTAGCATTCTTGTCTTCATGCATTTATCTCTTTTGTTTCTTTATGAAATCCTCATGTGGCATTATTTCTAGCTACATGTACTTTGTGAAATGCCATGAACCTCATGCAAAGTTAAATAGTTTTCCGGCAAATAAAGCCACCTCAACCGGCAAATAACAGTTAGGCCTTGGGGCTCCTCCCCATAGGTCGCCACTTAGGGTCTCCTCAAGGCCGGTAGAGATTTTCCTGGTTGTTATCTTCATGGTCCCATGGGATTAGTCGAGGTGGGCACAACCTGGCCCGGGCATCCACGGTTACAAAAATGAAGTTAAAAGTTTGCTACAGTAGGATCGTTTTTGTTCATTAAGGGTAATTTTTTCATTTGTTATGTATAACGATCTAAACAATCCTGCTCTCTCTCTCTCTCTCTCTCTATATATATATATATATATATATATATATACACACACATAATTATATCTAACAGATTGGCAGGTTTGTGCAGTTTGGTGCAGACCAAGACTGTCACTGTGGTGCTGTAGGCTGTAGGCGGAAACTGGGAGTGAAGCCTAACAAGTCAAAGTTCCCTTCTTCAGATGCTGCACTAAAGATAGTTGCATGTCAGGTGGCTATAAATTCTCCAAAAGTAAAAGCAGTTCTTTCTGGGAAAGATGTATGTATGGTTTTTCTTCATGATGATAGAACAATGTGTTATGGTGGTAATTTGTAGTCATGATTCTTCTGGGTTTTCTAGAATCATCTAGAATTGAAATGTTTTAACATGATGATCTACTAAATTTTTCATTTTTCATTTAATTAAAATAAAAACTAATCTGAGCTATTGTTTCTTGTAAAAGGCTTACAAGAATGGTGTTCGACAAGCAGGTACAAAGTCTAAACTCACTTTGTGTAATTATTTGGTTTGATTTGCGAGAGTTGGGAGAATCTTAATTGCAACTTTATTTCCTATTTTCTTGTTTATAGGTTGTTCGAGGCATGCCACTGATCAGACGAGAATACCTCATAATTGCATTGGGGAAGTTCTCAGAATAGCGCACCGTGGGTCAAAGAGGCATGTAGCTTCATTTTTGTTTGAATTTATGTTCATTGAAATCCAAATAATCAACTACTGTAAGACTACAGACAAGCCTTGGATAAATTTCGCTTGAATCTTATCATGATATGTTAGTTGCCAACTGGAAGTGGTTGGCCTAGTGATAATTCACTGACTTGCGCCATGTTTGGCAACCATAAGCTAGCTTATTGAAAAAGCAACTTTGGTTTGACATAAGCTAGCTTATTAAAACCTTGAGTCGTAGCTCATCTGTCTGACAAAAGGCTAGACCTTGGGGCTCCTCCCCATAGGTCGCTAGTTCGAGTCTCCTCAAGGTCACTGGGGATTATTTGGCTGTTATCTTCAAGACCCTTGAGATTAGTCGAGATGCACGCAAGCTGGCCCACTCACCCACAACTAACAAAAAATAAAATAAAAAGCTAGCTTATTGAGAGACTACTTCAAGCGTTTCAATTAAAGCTCCAGAGGTTTTTTTTCCCTCTCTTTTCCAATAGATTAAATTTTCAACTTGCCTTTTTAGATCATTTTACGTTGTTATCTAGCTTATGAGCTGGTTCTTACCAAACATGACTAGTTTATCGGCTAACAACTAGCTTTTTAGCCAACAATTAGCTAATCAGCTATAGTTTATCAAACATTGCCTTTGTGTTCTCAGAATGCATTCATGTTCAAATCCCACTAAATATTGTGAACCCCTCACGACCGATACCTATTAAGACCTACACTAGATGCCATGTTTATTCAAAGCAAAGTTGCTAAATAATCTTTTGTTGATGCTTTTCTTTAGATCTTTTGGCATCATCAAGCGGTTTGATGTAGACACAAGAAAACACTTGGTAAGTATGAGGCATAAGCTGTGTTGGTTTGCCGCTAGTTAGTGGTTGTTTGAGCGACGATTAACAAAGCCAGTTGTGTTTTTGACACAGGTGATGTTCGAAGATGGTGTCGTTGAGCTTCTGGATTTGACGCAAGTCGACTGGGAGCTTTGTAACTATTAGCTTACGGGGAGTGAGAGAGTAAGACCATAAACCTCTTGTTTTTAAATCCCTTTTCGGATTCTCTTATCCTTACAACTGTTCAAAATACATTGATGACAGATATAACATAGAATGAAGGGTTATGTATTGTTGACGAAAGGGTCGAACCAGCAGTGACTTCTTGTGTCCTTTTCGAGGGCTGTGGCGTCGTTTTTTGGATCTGTTGGATCCATCCTCCTCCTATAGTTTGCTTGTTATTATTAATATCTTCAACATCATAACCCGAAAACCAGTTTAATTCTTTGTAGATTTTTGTTAACAAAAATATTGCTTTTGTTGGAAGGAATATAGTTGAATGAAAAGTTTATAATGATCATAAAATGGAGTAACCTTATCAATATATGTATATGATTGTTTTACAAAGAGACGAAAGTGAAGTTATCATGAGAAGTATAATAAGAGATCCGAACCCTTTGATCACTTTTAATCTCATGCCTACACTTGAATTGCGTTTTAGAAGGGAATTGATTCAGTGCATCTCACTAGTGTTGACATTCAATTGGTATTAATTCAAGGGTGGAGATCTTTTCTTATGTTTCTCACCATAACTTCCCTTCTCACTGGAACCAACCTTTTACAATGATTGGGTAATTTTTTATGGTATCTTGGAAGGTTTGTAGAGAGTATGTTCTATTTTGGTCATTATGGTCTGATGGTATTCGGGCTATTGGTAAGTTTTAACCTCTGGACCAAAGATGAGAAGTGTGTGTGAGCGTTTGATATATATATCATGTATTTAAAAGAAAATGCTTTATGGTGATGGATGAATGGTTGTTTGTGTATAAACCCTTTTACATGAATGTTGTCACAATGTCCATATTGAAATCTGCATATCTTATCTACTTTTGTGTCAGATGATAACGAAATGAGCAAAGGTCTGACAATAAGATTTGGACCTTCGTGGCTCTTTCTTGAAAGGTCGTCGATTCGAGGACTTTTAAGGCCATCGAATATTTTCTTGGTTGTTTTGTTGGGGTCCGTAAGATTAGTTAAAATGCATGAGCTGGCATAGAGATGGCCATTTGTAACCGGCCCGGCCCGTAACCGACGGAGGCCCGGAACCGAGCCCGGCTCATAACCGTAACCGACCGGGACCGGCCATAACCGGTTAAGGACCGGCGGTTACGAACCGGTTAGTGTTTTTTGTGATTTTTTGGACCGGAACCGGTTATAACCGGAACCGGTTACGCAACCGGTTATGGGCCCGGCCCGGCCCGGCCCGGCCCGGTCAACGCAAAAGTCAACGTTACCGTTAGAAAGTCAAACTAGCCGTTAGAAAGTCAAACTAGCCGTTAGTTACCGTTAGTTACCGTTATGACCGTTTTTTTCATCTTTTTAGCTACCAAAACATGTATAAATAGAGATGAAAGTTCCTTACTTAGTTACCAACACTTCTCATCTTCAAAAACGCAAAAAACGCTCTCAATTCTCGGTTTTTCGCTTCATTTGTTGAATTCGTTACGTATTAATTTCTCGTTTCCACTT